GCTAATTTTGCCTACTCCTCGGACACAACCAATATTTTATTTCACTCCAAAAATACAAGTGAAATAATACTAAAGAGAGAAGATACAAATGCCTTAAACAGATGAGAAGGCAAATGAGAGGTGTGTTTAAATCCTAAACATTAAGCCTTCTTTTATTGGGGGGAAATCCCCCCAACCCTTCTCTTCCCACCGATGTGGGACAAATAGTTTTGCCAAATTCAACATTAAGAACGTAGGATTAGATAAAAAAGAAAAAACAAGAACAAATACTGCAAAAATGAGAACCAAACATAAGGATCATATTGAAAGAACTCCAAAATCAAAGAGCCAAATACTGATCCTGTTCCCGGATAAAATATGTCAAAGATTTCATCCACATTTTTCAAGATTCCTCTGCTATTCCTCATATACTGTTGACACATTCGAGTTCTCCGTTTCATTTCCGCCGCCACTGTTGACTCTGTCATCCCCAACCTGTCAATGCACCTCTCCACTTGACCCTGGGCCTCACCAATCCAACTCTGCAAATCCCAAACTAATTTGTTCGTGGCGAGAATTTTCTCATCTGGTTCGTCCCCTAAACTCTTCAATGATTCATTGAGCTGAGTGAGTGAGAACTTGAACATCCATTGACATTCCTTCAATAATGACTTTGTTTTAGGCTTATTTGAATGTGAGACTATTGTTTCGGGTGGTGATGAAGAAAGGTCAAAAAGCTCATTCATGGAAGCGTGGAGGGAGAGCATTAATATTTGTGAAGGGTTAATTCTGTCTCTGTTTAACCAAAATGGTGGAGGGTTCACATCTGCATAGTAAAAGGAGGCGATGGAGTTGACACATGAATCTGGATTTTCACTGAGGTTAGGAAGCCAACAGACGGTTTGGATTGCATCAAGTGGGTAATTGGAAAGTGATTTTGACTCGATTTTATGTTTGAATATAGTCAGGAGAGAGACGTTGGTAACTATGATGAGAGTGAAGAGTGTTACCAGGAGTATAGAACGTAGTTTCCTTTTGAATCTTGAGGATGATGGTTGATTTTGGACTCGGAGAAGACCTCCGTTGAGGCTGTTGTTGGTTGGTTTATCCATTTTTTGTATCATATTCAAAATGTGGTCGTATTTTGATGGAAATAATGAAAAGAAGAAGATATTTTTTTATATGTATGGTCAACACAAGAAATTGTTAAGAAGGTGGAAGCATGTAGTAGTAATACTTTTTTTTTTTGGCGTGGGGAAGAGGGAAAAGGGTGGGGGGTCTGGTCTCTGGTGGTTGGATTACCTGGAAGCTAGGATGGTTTGACTAGTTTCGTTCTTTATTTTGTTGAAAACCTCGTGAACTAAACAATCTAATGAACATTAAAGAAACCTTCTCATATGTTGAACAATTGATAGGGAGCTATTCAGGGAGCTATTCCGCAATATTGAAATAAATCTTCCGCGACCATTAAACCCTTTTACACCATTTTTTGAACGCTTTGAGGCGATTTTAAAGAGAGAAAATCATTGATGTAAGAATTTTAGACCCTAAAACTTAATTATTTGTGATTAAGAAACAAAATATCAGCGTTTAATTTATGAAAATCAGTAGAAAAAAGTGGAGTTAGGGCTTGAGATTATGAGGCCTTCTAATGATGATTTGAGGGGTCAAACGAACTCCAATTTTCGAGTTCTTTATATCTACGGACTCGTGAGATGATGAAGAACATTTTGGTATAAAGTTTGTCCAGTTCTGGGATGTGGGCTCGGGGGTCGGGTTTTGACTGATTTCGGATTTTGTGCTTAAAATCGATATTTTTCAATTTTTCAATAGGAATTCATTCGTTTAGCATAATTTGATGATAAAAATCTGAACTTGGTAGATTTGGAGCACTCGAAAGTTGGTTCGAGAGGCAAGCGTGCTGCAGAGTAGCTTTTCGGGCTAGTTCGAGGTGAGTAATGATTTTAAATGCTGTTCTGAGGGTTTGAAACCCTGGATTGCACATCGTAGTGCTATATTGAGGTGACGCACACGCTTTATGACAAGTGTGAGGTCGTGCACTGTTGGAGATTGTGACTTAGTCCGTCCCGAATGACTATTTTACCGCGTATTTGACTGAAATCCATTTGGTATCATCATGATTTGGGCTGAATGCCATAGTTGGTCCTTGTGCCAACTATTTGAACCCTTCGGGGATTTTACTGGTATTTTCTCACTGTTTTGACTTTATACTTGTACTCAGTCATGTTATATTTCACTGTTTTCGTACTCAGCCATATTTCTCTGTTTTAACACTTGCATGATCTTTTAAATGATATTTTTGGGCTGAGAATCATGTTTTACTATTGGCCGAGTGGCTTGTGAGGATTTTGACTGAGTAAGGAGAGGGCCTATATTGTGAGGAAACATTTGATACTGATTATGAGTCCGAGGGCATGCGATTTGTATGCCACGAGGTGACTTGATTGATATGAGGCCGAGGGCCTAGTGATGATGCCACGAGATGACTTGATATTGCGCTTGGGCCGTAAGGGGCCCCTCTAGGAGTCTGCACACCCCCAGTGAGCGCGGGTACCCATTATGACATGAGATATAGCCCGAGGGGTTGGTATTGTTATGTAATATTGCCCGAGGGACTGATTTGATATTATTGTGCCGAGGGGCAGTTCTTATGTATGCACCATTCCTAGTTGTTTTTCCTATCTATTGTTGACTGCTTAAAAAGGTATTTTTATGAGATTTCATCATTAAATTGTGTTACTGATTTTATTATGCCTCTGATAGCTAAATGTTGTGTTTAACATGATTTTATATCGTTCAGTCTTCATTTATTTTTAGTACTCATTGAGTTGGAAGTACTCACTTTACTCCCTGCACCTCTATGTGCAGATTCGGGTGCTACAGGTCCTGCTACTGAGGGTTGACAGTTCCAACAGATCTTCGGAGGTTTACTAGGTAGCTGCTTGGCGATTCACAGCCCAGTGCAACCTCCCTCTATCTTATTTCTTTTCTGATTCAGTTATTTAGTAGTAGAGTAGACTTTCAGACTGGTAGTATTGTTTTAGATGCTCATGACTGGATACCCCGATGTCGGGCTGTGTTGGCTTTTATTTCCGCAAATTATACTGTTCAATGCTTATTTTGGGATTTTATTTCTGATTAAAGACTTAGTAGTTATTATTTTAATTGCTTAAAGTGAATTAGAAGTAAGTCGGCTGGCCTTGACTTCACGAGAGGCACCATCACGATCGGGTTGGGTTTAGGGTCGTGACAACTTATGACTCGCTTTTCTACAAAAAAGTTGGCCAGTTACAATCTAGAAATTGAAACATCTCTTCGATTGTGCAGGAAAGGAAAAACAACATCTTCTTAAAGCATATCTCGTGAAGGAATGGAGAATTAGGGAATAGAAGACATTCAACCACCGGTCAATGTGGATGATCAGTTTGATTAAGTAGCACCAAGGCCAGCAAACAGAATCCTAAGGGATTATGCTAGACCTGACCGCTTCAACTGTGAATCTAGTGTTAGAAAACCTCCATTGGCAACCAACAACATTGAAATCGGAACTGGCTTGATTCAATCAATTCAACAGCCTTGCATCTTCACTGAAGACGCAAGTGAAGATCCACACAGTCATTTAATTGACTTTCTGGAACTTGTTAAAATAACTAAGTATAATGGAGTACCTCGTGAAGTTATCAAGTTAAGGCTATTTCCTTTTTCTTTAAAAGGTGATGCCAAGACTTGGTTGCAAAGTTTGTGTCACGACCCTAAACCCGGACCCGATCGTGATGACGCCTCTCGTGAAGACAAGGTCAGCCGACACACTTCCAATTTATTTTTAAGCAATTATAATGATAAGTATTAACACTTTAACATAATAAAATCCCAAAATAAAGTGAATACTACAGTTGTGGAATAGACATAGCCCGACATCGGGGTATCACCAGTCATGATCATCTATAACAATACTACAAGTCTGAAAGAGCCTACTCAACTATTACATAATTAAGACAGAAGGAAACAAGATAGAGGGAGAAACACTAAGCTGCGAACGCCGACAGCTACCTAGTGAATCTCCAGAATCTGCAGGAAGCTCTCTCAACCCTCACAAGTAGGACCTGAAGCGCCTGAATCTGCACACGGGGTGCAGGGAGTAAAGTGAGTACTACAACTCAGTAAGTAATAATAATAAATGCAGACTGAGAATAAGAAATCACGTAAAGGCACATCAACGGGCTATAAAGAAGCAGTAAAGGCCAGTAAAAGCAATGAAATCGTGGAAAATAGGTAAAGTCACTTTAGTTCAATTAAAACTTCTTTGGAATGCCTTTTTAACAGTTAAGCAAGTAGATGACATACAACTAGGAAAGATAAACACGTAAAGAACTGCCCAACACAATATCAACAAAATTCGCCCCTCGGGAAATATCATAGAACAACAACAACCCCTCAGGCTATATCTCACATCACGATGTGTACCCGCGCTCACTGGGGGTGTGCAGACTCCTGGAGGGGCCCCCTTACGGCCCAAGCACAATATCAAGCCATCTCGTGGCATAATCACATAGACTATCCGCCTCATATCAACAAGCCACCTCGTGGCTTACCAAATCTCAGACCCTCAGCCTCATAATCATAATCAGTGTTTCCTTACAACATAGACCCTCGGCCTTACTCAGTCAGAATCTCATAAGCCATTCGGGCAACAACAAAATATGATGCTCACCCTGAAATATCATTTTAAGAGTTAAAATAGAGCAAACATGGCTGACTTATGAAAGTAGTAGAATATAACATAACTGAGTACAAGCATAAAGTCAAGATAGTGAGGAAATATCAGTAAAACTACCCTACAAGTTCAAATAGTTGGCACGAAGCCCAAATATGGCATTCAACCCAAAACATGATGATAACAAAAAAATTTCAATCAAATACGCAGTAAAACAGTCATTCGGGATGGACTAAGTCACAATCCCCAACGGTGCACGACCCCACGCTAGTCATCTAGCGTGTGCGTCACCTCAATATAGCACCACGATGTGCAATCCAGGGTTTCATACCCTCAGGACAACATTTACAATCATTACTCACCTCAATCCGGTCCAAACTCTAGCCCGCGATGCATTTGCCCCTCGAATCGGCCTCAACTCGCATCAAATCTATACAAAATCAGAATCACGACGTCAAAATACGCTAAGGGAACGAAGCCCACACGAAAATAATCAATTTACAACACAAATTCTGAAATTACCAAAACCCGAACCCCGGGCCCACATCTCAGAATTTGATAAAATTTACATGAATAGATTCCTTATCTCCCCACGAGTTTATACATATCAAATGTCCCAAAATTCGACCACAAATGGTCCCTCAAATCCTCAAGTCTACGTCTTTAATACCAAGCCCTAGTTTCCCCAATTTTAACCCTTAAATTCCATTAATTACAGCTCTAATCCATGAAATAATACAATAGTATCGATTATTAGACTCGAAAAGCTTACCTCCAGATGATATCCCTTGATTCCCTCTTCAAAATCTCCCCAAAAGCTCCAAAACCGACTTGAAATGGTGAAGAACAACTCAAAAATCACGAAAGATTTCTTTTATACCTTCTGGCCCAGGGATTCCGCACCTGCGGCCAATTCCCCACTTCTGCGGTACTGCTTTTGTGGTCAATGAACCGCTTATATGATTTTTCACTTAATCCCCAGACGCCGCATCTGCGATGCACTGCTCGCACCTGCGCCATTGCAGGTGCGGCTCTTCAGCCGCTTCTACGACTCCGGCCTTCCTTGGCCCTTTCCGCTTCTGCAACTTATAATTGCTTCTGCGAGACTACACCTGCAGTCCCCTAGCTGTAGATGTGGTTATGACAGCAATGGGAAAACTTTAGCTGCCACAACCCAACTCCGATCTTCCGTCAACCATCCAAAATCACCCCGAGGCACCCGAGACCTCAACCAGAAGTACAAACACATCATAAACCACCATCCAAACTTATACCAATCTTCAAAACACTTCAAACAATATCAAATCAACCAAAACACATCGGATTCAAGCCTAAGTATCAAAAATCTTCCGAATTACGCTTTTGATAAAAAAGTCT